GTTCCCAATGAATGGCAGTTCCCGCCATCCTAACCAACGCAATTAGTGATCCCTTCCTCGGTTAAACCTCCTCCACGTCGTCACCACGGTCGGGGGCCCTATTCGCACTTAAAACAATTAAAGTAAAGGGGGGGGTGAGTATATAAGATACTTCGTAAGTAGCCCTCCCTAACTAATCACCACAGCATGCTCGTAATCACAGCGACATCAAACACAATAGCAAAAACAAACAACCAGGCAACAAGAGATAATAACAGTGGATTGACATTCCCATATAAGCATCCATACACCAGGACTCCCAGGACCCCGACTGCACGACCCACTAGCCCTTTGACCCACTCGAGTTAGAATTCGTTCTACCCAGTACGTTAGTATTCCAAGTCTAACTCTTCGAGGCGTATTGGCCTTTAACATTTATCCCCAAGATACCGACCTCCCTCTACAAAAGCTTGGCGTTCGACCTTGCCATTTATTCCCAAGGCCTTGAACTGTGCATCGGTCCTTGACATTTATCCCCAAGGTATCGATGACTACTCGGCGCATTGGTTCTTGACATTTATCCCCAAGATCCCAATACTCATCTATAGCAACTTGTTGTTCGGCCTTGTCCTTTATCCCCAAGGTACCGATGACTACCGGCGTATTGGTCCTTGACATTTATCCCCAAGACCCCAATACTCCTTTATAGAAAACTTGGTGGCCGGCCTTGTCATTTATCCCCAAGGCCTTCTACCCTCGGAGCCTCGACATCCAGTAGGGACCTAATCGCCTCGTCCGTTGCCCACGAGGCCACAACACCGGTACATCCAATTTCATTACACGATAAACCATGCATTTGCAAAATCGTTATTTTCTAATACTTTACCACATAACCTCCAATCATCTACTACAAGGCCTTGAATAACCCAATGACTGGTATGCGTTTTTACTTCCGACAACCCACATGATAACAACAGCTAACCCGTTCCATCCCTTTTGACAACTCCCACTAACCCTTCCAAGATAACCTGTAAGTTACCCACATTCCAAGACACAACAAAATTTTCCAGCCTACATTTAATCGTACCAAACAAAACACTACCTAACAGCTTCCAACTAAACGACATAAAACTAAATAACATACAATCAGTATATGCATTTCATCTCAACATGTTTCCAAACGTCATAGATCAATCCCTTCCAACCACAATATTCAGAACTGCCCAGCCACATTCAACGACGAGAAACCATGCATGCTCATAATGTCTAACAATAGAATTAATAACATGTAACTCAACAACAATCACTGGGCGTTCAAAAAACCAAGACTAACAATTACTATATGCACGAAATGAATTAGTCTAA